TTTCCTATCTTTATATATGATTAAATGACCAATGTAACCCCACATCATGTACAACCACAATAATGGGATCCTAAGTGGAAAATGTTAAAATTATTTTATGTGTGTGTGTCGAATTACACCCTACTCTCATGTATATCAGTAAAGAAATATTAAATAAATGAAAAATTAAGTAAAGAGAACAAAGACAGATTAAAGCACAAGATGGCAAAAGATACACTTAACAAAACCTGATAAATGAAAGCAAGAGGACTAGGGTTGGGGCTCAGTGGTAGAGCGCTTGCCTAGGTTTGATTCTCAGCGCCACATAAAAATAAATGAATAAAATAAAAGTACTGTGTTCATCTATTTAAAAAAATGAAAGAAAGAAAGAAAAAAAGAAAGAAAGAAAGAAAGAAAGAGTGACTATTTTAATGTCAGAGTAGAATTCAGGACAAGAAATATCAGACATAAAAGAAATCATTTAATGATGATAAAAGGGTCAATCCACCAGAAAAAAACTAATTTTATATTAATAAGAGAACTTTAAAAAACCTGGAGCAAATAGAACAAAAAGTTAGAAATGAAAGGGAAAACATTTACATCCACAAATGTAGTTGGAGATTTCAACTCTCCTATCTCAATAAGTAACAGAGCAGGTAGACAGGAAATTAGTAAGGATATAGAAGATTTAGAGAACAACCTAACTGATATTTATAAGTCCACCGACAGCAGAACACTTTCTTTTCCAGTGCACATGAAATATTCAGAGAGAGAGAGACTGCAGATAGCAAACAACTTCCAATAGATTTCAAAAGATTAAAACCACACAAAATATATTTGGGGAATCAAACAGAAAGCCAATGACTAAAATACCCATAAAATACAGCAAATATTTGATAATTACACAATATATTTTTTAAAAGATAGATAAAGAGAGAGAGAGAGAGAATATTAATATTTATTTTTTAGTTTTCTGCGGACACAATATCTTTGTTTATATGTGGTGCTGAGGATGGAACCCAGACGGCACGCATGCCAGGCGAGAGCGCTACCGCTTGAGCCACATCCCCAGCCCCACAACAGAATGTATTTTTAAATAACCAATAGATCAAAAAAACGAAACACATTTACTATTCAGTTTCAYAGTTCCACTTCTCAGGATTTACTTGAGATAAGGAAAACCAAGGGCACCCAAAGACTCTGCATAAATGTTCAGAGCAGCGTCATTCCTAAAGGCCCAGCATTATAAACCACCAAAGATTGTGATTCCTTTAATCCGTAAGTATTAGTATGTGCGAAGGAACTATTGATAAATGGAACATGGATGAGTCTCAACACACATTGTGTCAAGTGAAAAACAGAAACATTCCATTCCATTTATATCAAATTCTCAGACTGATAAAACAAAAAGAAGTAGAATGTAGATCAACACAAACTCATGCTGATATTAACAAGGAGAAATTACAGACTTTGGGGAACTGAAAGTTTCTGTGAACTCTGCGAAGATGGGAAAGTAGTTACATGGGTGTAGATATTAGTATAATTCCTTAAACTATAGGAACCCCTTCTTTTATTCAAATTATACATTAAGTTTATTTTATTCAAGTTTATTTGTTTGTTAGCAACACTAATAAGATTTTATAAGGAGGGTGCTCAGGAGAACAGATATAGGTCAGTTATTCATGATTTAGAAAATTTTTCGTGGTAAACGGTTGTTGAAAATGGATCTTGAAGAAGGGAAAAGAGACTTGATCTGGGTGCACCCGAGATGGGACCAGTCAGCAATGCTTATATTTTGTCCAAAGCGAGTTTACTTTTTAAGTCACATGTCACATAAAATTCTAGATTTCCAGTTTTCATGAGAAACATAGGCTGCAATCAAGCCAGTTTGATTGGGCACTTGACAGCTGGCCACTGCAGCTACCACCTTTGCAAAGGACATGTTTTTCCAGCTCAGGACAGACCCTGTCACTCCATGGCCAAC